ATGTTATTAAGCAAACAAGGGGGTCGTAAGTGCAAACGCAGCGGTTGTAAGTACAAATGCGGTGGGTCATTGAGCGAATGCCACAGTTGTAAGTGTGAACCCATTGTTTGCAGTAGGTGTGGTTTTGCCAAAAACCAGAAGTGTCAGTTTTTAGCAAAACCACTGTAAAATGCAGTCAGATGATCATGGGATGCTGCAAATGGCTGTAAATGCAGCCATATTGCTAAACGGCAAAGAGTTGTCACATGACCAGGGGTGACCAATGGAACTTTGGGTGAAGGTTGTAAGTCTTCATTTTCAGGTAGGTCATAAGTTCCATCAGTCATAAGTCAAAGTAACCGTACTTAAAAAGCAGACAGAAATTCAAAAATTAAGTGAATTTTGTAAAATGATGTAAATATCTGCAGATTGCAAATACTAGTCTTCAATACAGTGATAATCTGTTCCTCATATTATGTTTCCAAATGGATTTCCTCTCAGTGACTAAAACCTTTTTTTTCTTAGTAAAACAAGGACTAAACTGAAAAGTCCCAGATAGCCCGTGAAACAATTTTCAATTATTGTACTATTATAGGTTGGTACAATTTGTATTCTGGCATCACTGATTGTTAAAATCTTTTTTTTAAAAAACCCTTTTACTTTTTGATCCCATGACATTTTAAAACAAAAGTTTCATTGAAATGAGACTAAAGGCTAAAAAAAGTATTTGATTTTTATGATTATAAATCTCAGTCCCTAAGGCAACTTTATAGAAACAAAAGTTCGTTTTTCTAAACTTCCTCCACTTTGAACAATAACTGTTTTACTTGAAGTATGGTATGGTTTCTTTGCCTACTGCTGTTAGCTGAATGACACGAAGAGACTTGGCTGGGATTTAAAAGTGACATTTTTCTTTACAAGACTTTCTTAGCTTAATGCAATTAAAGTTTCTGTTCTTTTTTCTAAATGGGGTCATTTATGATTTTATACTAAGTACAAATAGAATGTCACATGCTAATTGAAAATTATAAGGTTATTTTTAAATAGGGTTGGGTTTCTAGGACCAGAAAAGAATTTAGAATTATTAATAATGGTGGTAAATTAATTTGCTCTGAATAACATACAAATATCCTTTCTGAACATGGGAACAATATGAATGGACATTTTCTAGTACATTGTATTTTGTATTAATACTGAAATAGTTTTCAGAGATTGGCAATATAAATAGATGAATCGAGAGGTTAGTATCAAAATAAATGGCACATTCTAACTTTATAAGCACACCATTATTTGAAATTTGGGTGGATTTGGGCTTACGAATTTCAAAAGGAATTGAAACCAGTAAAGTACGATATATGAATTGTATTTCTTCATCAGGAGTCTACTCCAGCATGCAAAAATATATTAGTTTGTAATTTTAAAAGTAAGTGAAATAGCTGTATTAAAAACAGGGAAAAAAAAGAAATTAGATTTTTATGTCTTATTTAGGCATTTCTTTGCTTGGCAGCCAATTATAGATCCAATTCTTGGGTTTCCTAAGACTACAGGTAGTTCTCAACTTACGACCACAATTGAGTGCAAAATTTCTGTTGCTAAGCAAGACAGTGGTTAAGTGAGTTTTGCCCCATTTTATGACCTTTCTTGCCACAGTTGTAAAGTGAATCACTGCAGTTGTTAAATTAGTAATCTGATTTCCCCATTAACTTTCATGTCAGAAGGTCGCAAAAGGTAATCACATGACCCCAGGACACTGCAATGGTCATAAATACATGGCCAGTTGCCTAACATCTGAAATTTGATCACATGACCGTGGGGATGCTGAAGATAAGATAAGATAGATGAGATGAGATAAGATAACCTGTATTGTCATTTTTTACTATGAGTACACTGGCCCACATTAAAAATGGAAATTTATTGCTTGCTCTCAAAAGAAAATGTATATCTACTCATACACATATATAAACACACATATACACGTGCTATATACATACATATAGATACATATACCTACCGCATACACATAGATACATATAAATATTAATCACTGTCCATTTTGAATACATACAGTAGTGGAAAGAGGAAACTTGAGAGTTCACAAGGTTGATACTATATGGAAGAAAACTGTGGCTGAATCTGGATGCAGTGGTCGTAAGTGTGAAAAACGGTCATAAATCACTTTTTTCAGTGCTGTTGTAACGGTCACTAAACAAATGGTTGTAAGTCAAGGACTACCTGTAGTGAATATCAAGTTCCTTCCCAGAATGAAAGAAATCACTTTGCATCTTAACAAGGCAGGACAATTTCAACATTCTTAAAATATGCTGATTCTCCTAGATTTCACTTCAAAAAGCTCTAAATTTTTCTTCAAGAAAAGCCTCTGTCTTTAATAGGATGAAATTTTAATTGACAAAGTTTTAATTGGTCAAAGCTGACTTTTATTGAGAAGAGTTTGTGTTTTGGGTGAGAATTAATTTAGAAAGTAGAGAAGTTTTTCTAAATCCTTATAGAAAGGCTCCATAGGCATTACACTTGTAGCTGCACATGTCTGAAAGCTAACAATTTAATGATGCCTATATAGAAATGTACCACTACAGCTGCTGCTGCTACTGCTAGTACTACTAGTAGTAAATTTTAATAGATGGTGTTATATGCCAGTGGTGGCGAACCTATGGCACGCGTGCCAGAGGTGGCACTCAGAGCCCTCTCTGTGGGCCCGCGCGCCATTGCCCCAGCCCCACCTCCCCTGCAACCTTTGCACCAGCAGCCTGCCCGGAGGAGAGTCTCCCCCAGGCACGGCCCACACAGAGCAGCATAGCCAAGCACATGGCAGCTGGGCAGCAGGGGCAAGACTCCACCCTCACGCCATCACGTGCAGATGATGCTGCGGGGTGCAGGTGGAGGGCATGGCCACCATGGCGTTGCAAGGCCACCTGGGTGATCTGTGGTGAGTGGCCCTGTGGGGGGGCAGAACGGGGGGCGGAGCAGGGGGCAGAGTGGGGGCGGGCCGAAGTGGCAGGCTGATTTTTGGGCACTCGGTCTTTAAAAGGTTCGCCATCACTGTTACATGCTGTGAAGACTAACTCCCTAGTTTGATGGTCATAAGTACGAGGACTGGTCAAAAATTGCTTTTTTCTATGCCATTGTAACTTTAAAAGATTGTGTAAAGAATGTATTGGACAAATGAACTGGGCTCACAGAATTCACTAACTATGCTAGCATAGAATATTGTTAGTGGTTCCATGCACCTGAGAAACCGAGTCGGTGGCTCAGAGAATCAGACTGTCACATTAAGCTGTAATATTTTTTATGTGTTAGATCAGATTTTATACTATTAAGGTTTCTTAACTCCAGCAGAGATTTTAGTATGTTTGTGAAACAGCCTGGATAGAAGACCTATGAGGCAAGTAGTGTCGTACAATTATGATGTCAGCCTTAATTTTAAGATACAGGGGTGCATGGTAAGAGGCAAAGCACAGCCATGTTTTGAAGACAGTAAGTCATTGTGAGAACATGGAGGCTCAGATATAGTCAGCATCTTCTCATCAAGAGTTTGCAATATTTCCCCAACAGTAGAGAAAAAGGCGAACAGATTGACCCAGTGGTTTTTCTGCAATGTCATCTTAACTGTGGACCTAAAACAAGTAATCATATTGCTAAAGAAAAATGTCATTGTTTGCTAGTATGACTGGAACGAAAGCTGAATAGTTATTTGGCCTGAAGGAAATAATCAATCTGACTTTGATAACCCATCACTTTAAAAGGGCCCTTTATGTTTGTGAAAAAAAGTGTGACGTCAAAGCTGTGGAGAAAAAAAAATAGTACCAAAATTTCCAAGCTAAATTTACGTAGCTTCTCAAACACACAAACACATCTGCACACAAACACAAAAAGGTTCCCTGTGCAAACAGATTATTATTATTTCCATGCATAGCAAATTAGTTTATGGTTATTAGAAGCCTGAGATGTAATGTCCAAGTTACTTGTGCCATATTTGGAAGAACTTGTTTATGCTTCGTCCATCGTTGTGCCTTTGAACTGGTAGGACAGATAATAAAATGAAAATTGTCCAACTAGTTTCCAGACATTCCTAGGAATATATAAACGACATGCTGGAAATGCTTGAGTATAATCATTACCAGGTGAGCTTTCTTTCTTTCTTTCTTTCTTTCTTTCTTTCTTTCTTTCTTTCTTTCTTTCTTTCTTTCTTTCTTTCTTTCTTTCTTTCTTTCTTTCTTTCTTTCTTTCTTTTGTTTCCCTGTGCGCTTCAAGCACTGTCTCACTTAAACCTACATCCATTTATTTCAGCGAGACTAAAGGTATATATATGCATGCATGCATTTTCGCATATCTATGGTACAATGAAATTTAGAGAAGATTACAAGGGATTTTTTCTTAATAAATATAATAAATGTGGTTGCAGTATGAATATTTGTAGAGAAACGCTGTTTTTAGTGTAGCATCATGGTTTTTTCATAAAATAGTTGGATGCCACAAAAGCAATTGAGTCAAATAAAATCTATTTCAAAATGATGAAATACATAAAGTAAATGCTTAAGCATTGTACGTACAATGGTATACATTTTCGGGGTTTTCAGAGTACTTTCTTTTTTTTGTAACAGTAGCAAAGACATTTAAAGAAGACTTCTGTATATCATTCTCTATTTTTATTTATTTATTCACTTTTCTTGTAGCTGTTCAAGTCCAACAGATTTAAAATGCATCAATTATTTGCATGCATTTTATTAAGTGTATGTGTATCAACAGATTTTATTGAGAAAATGTATATTTTATATATTTTATTTTATAAATATATTTTATATATTTTATATATATATATATATATATATAAATTCCTGTTGTTTAAACAATGCATTTACATTAATATACATCTTTTCCTTTCACACATAGCTTTGTTTTCATGTAGAAAACTGATGGGTAAACCTTTATGGACACAATATTCGCAGCAATTCTGATTCCCAAACACTGATGCGAAGCTGCATCTTTTCCTTTTGTGTCCACAGGTGCAGACTCACTTGGAAAACCCCACCAAGTATCACATCCAACAAGCTCAACGGCAACAGGTCAAACAATACCTCTCAACTACGTTAGCAAACAAGCACAACAATCAGGCATTAAGCTTACCTTGCCCAAATCAGCCCGTTGACCACGTTATGCCACCGGGCACTGGAAGCAGTGCACCCAACAGTCCTATGGCCATGCTTACATTGAACTCCAACTGTGAAAAAGAGGTAAGAACAAATCTTGTCTTTGGCTTTTGATGCTTTAAAAGCTACGTTTACTGTGCAATCTGTTTTCCTTCAGGTAGTGAAAATGCTTGATTGGTCTCACAGTCTTCATCGTCCTCTATATTTAGTTGGGAATAGATCTCTGGGATGCTTATCCAACTTCTCTAAAGAGAAAGAAATAGAAACTATAAATATTAATATGTCTAAATGAAAAGCATGAACTACTTCGTAAGAGCAACTATAGGAATTCTCTCCCTATTTGAAATATAGATACTCCTAGATTTTATTTATATGTATGCAAATCAAGAATTATACTAGACTATTGGCTATTTTGCAGGTTCCCACATAAATCTTTTCATGGAATTTAACTTTTCAGAACTCTTGCACACTAACTTGATTTTAGTTGAATTTTTCATTGCTTGTTGACCACAGCCAGTTAACTGTTAAGCAAACTTCCCTCCATCCTTATGATCCATACCCTTTGTGATTTCTGAAAATTCTTATTTAACTGCATGCAGAGGCCCACAGGTGATTCCAATCTATATGAAATTGAAAATATTTTCCATTAGTATATGGTCTCACTGGTTCTAGTCCAGCACCTTAGCCACCCCACCAAATTGATATTTTCTCTCTCTCTTTCTGTTGTACACACACACACACACACACACACACACACACAGAGAGAGAGAGAGAGAGAGAGAGAGAGACTTGCACACACTCATTTCTTTTTTATTTTAAAGCTTTATTAAAGTTGTTTGCTTTATTAAAGCAAACAACAGAAAAAAGCTATAAAATGGAACTTTTGACTTTTTTGATACAGATAAAAACGTAAATCAATGACCCTTTGAACTAGAATATATCATAAAAACAATAGTTCTATAATCATAAACATATCTAATCATCAAAGCCTAAAATTAAAATCTCATAATTTTTTTCAGTTTCAATAAAAAAAATGGCTTCCAGGTAGAAACAAAACTAGATACGGTCTTTTCTTTAATCAAAGCCATGTCTGCCAATTCCATTAACTTCAGCTGCCATTCTTCGATTGTGGATATATGTGTGCGGTTGTTAGATACAGTATAAAACAAAACTCCAGCAATTATTTTATTTCTTAATTTAGCTGTAAAATGTATTCTAAAACAGGGTTCCCCAATCTTTCCAGCTTTGCAGACTGGCGGGGGGGGGGAAGGGCATGGTTCTGTGTGAGTAGCAGGTGCATGTGCCTGCCGCTCATGCAAATGGAGCTCATGCACACACACTTACCCACTGCTTGCACAAGTGGGGATTCATGCATGCTCGCCTGATTCCAAAAGGCTCAAGGCCCAGTAGTGGGTTGCGGCCTAGGGGGTTGGGGACCCCTGTTCTAAAATTATTATCAATGAAGCTTTCAGTAAACAATAAAGGAACCAACTTAGATAAATTTCCAGTCGTGAAAGCCATTTAGCACAGGTAGGCAAACTTTTGCAGCTTAGGCAACATTGATATCTTCAAAATAGCTGTCTTTGCCAGTCAAAGAATACCCATTTAGGTATAGTCAAACTAACCCCAAGACGTTCCCTGCTATCTCAAGTGACCTACCTCCATCAGAAGAATTCTTGAACAACTGTTTGTGTAAGGAGAGTTGAAGCATCAGTGTGCATTAAAAATAAAAAAAAAATACCATTAGCAGGGGATTCTGTGCTATAGGAACAAATAAACATGATGTGACTTTTGAATTATGAATGTGCATAATTCTTCACTACAGGATGTGCCCTTGGCTGCTAATGTAGTTGGATTTAATAGAGATTAATCTGTGAATGGACAACAGTTCTGTCGGGGTATGGAACTCCATACTAGTGAAAACTATTGGGGAATAAGTTGTAAGGACTACCTGGTTTCACAGACTAATAAATAATCTTCCAGAATCATTTGGTTAACCACTGTGGGACCAAAAAGGCTAGTTTGCATGGATCTTTCTAGGATTTCAATCAGATTATTAAAATCTGATTAAATTATTTGATTGTGACAGGATTAACTTTCTGTTCTAAGGACCTTTTTGTTATTTAAATATTAGTTAAATAATATTTTATTTATCCTGGTGTTATATTATCCTGGTGTTGCACTATATCCCATTCTGATCTTTTTGTTCTTATGTTTGTTCTCTTTTTTCATGGTTGCAGGGCTTTTATAAATTTGAAGAACAAAGCAACAGAGCCGAAAATGAATGCCAGTCTCTGAATACACATTCTCGAGTGTCATGTATGCAGGTATGTATGCTTGCATATTGACTGATAGAATCTTCATGTGATTTCTTAAGATCTCCAAGCCTATTTCATATTATTCATTTTGCTAAGGTATTTAAAATACAGTTAGAAAACATTCTAATAATAATACATTTGGAAATACATGTATCCTACAGATATGTTCCTGGTGAAAATGGTAGTAGATCAGCCAGGCATTTCATATGGCGTATCTGGTTATGCTTTCATCCAGTTACCAAATATTGTGCATGAAATAGCGATAAAATTCAGAGCAGTTAGAAATTACAAACAGTGGTAGAATTTTGACTGTGGCTTGAATGTTGTAGTATTTCACTAGGAAATAAATTCCAGTAACTCAATGGTCTTTGACTTGATCGGATTACTTATACACGGAGATATGTTCTAATTGTTAAATACATTTGTGTTCTGTCAATAAAACATGCAAATGCATTTTTAAATAGCCAAAAATAATTGGCTTTACAGGAATGCCAAATTATTCAAATCCCTAATATAATTCCTTTCGAGCAACAAAATCTTCAGATTACTCAATAAGAAAATAAGAGTTTCTATCCATACTACAATCTAGCTGTTATAGTTTGCAATGTAAGGAATATTGGGATTGGTATTTCTGGGAAGAGTATAGTGAAAACTCTAAATATTAAACATTAAAAATGTTCTCTGAGAAAATATATCTGAAGTTATTTAAGAAGTTTTGTATAACAAAGGCATACAATCATGTCATATTTGAACTAATTCCTTGTTTATCGGCTTTCAAGATATGAGCAATTGCCAGCACCAGGGATAGGAAATATTTATATATCTTTCAAGCTGTCTTACACTATAATGCATTACTTTGGGGGATTTCACTAGGTTCCTACTGGGTTCATATTACTTAGAATAACAGAGTTGGAAAGGACCTTGGAGGCCTTCTAGTCCAACCCCCTGGTTGAGCAGGAGACCCTGCACCATTTCAGACAAATGGCTGTCCAGTCTCTTCTTAAAAGCCTCCAGTGAAACAGCACCCACAACTTAAATATAACTGTAAACCTACAATGTGATGGGATAGTTGAAAGCGTAGACAAGAAATGCAGAGTGGCTAGATCACAGTCAAAAACATTTCTAGGTCTCAGGCATCTCCCTAATTAAACAAACAATTTTTTTTAAAAAACACCCAAATCTTGTGAGAATCAGTCATTTCAATAATGTTTAAACTGGGAAGCTGCTGCCCTTTTAGGACACTGCTGATCAAGTTTTGTTTTAAATTTAAATTATATTAAATTTAAATTAAACTTCTTCAAAATGAATTTTGTTAACTAGTTACACATACTCAAATCAGCCATATAGATGACGAAGCAAGAAAAAAAAACCCAGGTATAAAACAGCAAATATATTTTTGAAGCTGAAGCTTCTTTTCTCACTGATCTTCCCTTAACATATTATGAGGCACAACAGGTCTGTAGCCAGTCTTAATTTAACCAGTTTACAATAGGGCTCATGTAATCTTGAAATAGGAAATAGCATTTTTAAGATTAAAAAAATGGGAGTGATCAAAGAAGGTTTAGAGCAGGGGTAGTCAACCTTGGCTCTTTTATGACTCGTGGACTTCAACTCCCAGAATTCCTGAGCCAGCTTAGCTGGCTCAGGAATTCTGGGAGTTGAAGTCCACGAGTCATAAAAGAGCCAAGGTTGACTACCCCTGGTTTAGAGGATCGGTCCCCCAGCTCCTAAATAAATGAATTGGGATATTTTTATTTATTGAACTTATATAATTGCCCAACTCAAATACAGGACTCTCGATAGCTAATAATATTTTAGAAACAGAACAGAAACAATATAACAACATTAGAAATAATATGATGAATAGCTGGGAATCAGTAGAGGTGTACCTCATAACAGTATTCCTCAACTGATTGTTACAATGGAGACCAAAATATCTGTTACTAAGCAAGCCAGTTTTTAAGTGGCTTTTGCCCCTTTTCTTGCCACAGATTTTAAATGAATCACCGCAGTTGTTAAGTTAGTAACACAGTTGTTAAAGGAAAATCTGGCTTCCCCATTGACTGTGCTTGTTAAGCAGTCGCAAAAGGTGATTACATGGCCCCGGGACATTGTCACTGTCATAAATACATGCAGTTGCCAAGGGCCTGAAGTTTGATCACATGACTATGGGGATGGTGCAATGGTCGTGAGTGTGAAAAATGGTCATAGTCACTTTTTTCAAGTCCATTGTAATTGAATGGTCACTAAATGAATGGTTGTAAGTTGATGACGACCTGTATATCCAGGAGGTCTTTCTGAGTGTTTGATGCGTATGAACATATTTTGCCCTAATTCAGATTTCTGATACTCCTTATCTTTTGTTACAGATGGATGATGTAATTGACGACATAATCAGTTTGGAATCAAGTTATAATGAAGAAATCTTTGGTTTGATGGATCCTGCTCTACAAATTGCAAATACGGTATTTTGTTTTCTGTTATGTCTTTTTAGTTCTCACTCTTGCATAACGTAGTACCATTTTTTCATTAAAACGTGTCTATTTATTCTTTTATCACCAAAGATAAAATGCAAAACAAAGAAAAGGAAGAAAAAGGAAAAAAAGACTAACAAATATCCAATCCTAATAACAAAAAAAAAACCAACCATGTGTACAGCCCCCCCTATACAATACATTTAACATTAAACATAAGAAAAAAATCCACCTCAGCTGAATGCCAATAGATACATCAAAAATCTAATATATTTCCCTTCTCTTACCTAATGAGTCTACAATAGTTATAAACTTTTTCATCTATATTTAACAAAAATGCTATATTACATAAACAACCATCCCTCTTGTGGAAATCTATTTATGTAATAATTGAATCAACCTAACATATGTTTACATATACGTATACATAGGTATGCATATACATATACAGTGTATACACACACACATACACATATCTATTTGTGTGTGTTTGTGTGTGTTTGTGTATGTCAGAGGTTCCCAACCAGGGGTGCTAGCACTCCCTGGAGGTGCGAGACGATATTCCAGGGGGTCCATTATTTCGAACTTTTGTAAGGGGTGCGAGAATATATTAGAAGCGTTCTAGGGGTGTGGGGTATAGAAAAGGTTGGGAGCCACTGGTGTATTTATATATGTCTCTATATAAAACATGACAATCTGCAAGTTATCCCAAAGTTAAAACTAATCTTCAGATTCCTCTGTTAACCATCTATCATTGTATTTAACACATAGAAAATCCACAAATGGATTCCAGTCTCTTGTAAACTTGTCTAATCCATTTTCTCTAATTAAAGCAATTAATTTTGCCATCTCTGCTAATTCAGTCAATTTTAAAATTCTTCTACGGTCGGCATCCCCTTTTCCTTTCAATGCTTAGCATATCCAATCCTCGCAGCAATCACCATGTCAAGAAATAACTTCCCAAATTGTTTTTCAGTTGATTTATCTATAATACCTAGAAGAAAAGCTTCAGGTTTCATTAATATTTGTATTTTTAGTATTTTCTGCATTGTTAATTTTATATTTTTCCAATATAATTTTGCATGCTTACAAGACCACCACGTATTTTAGAATGTACCTGGATTTTTTTTGCATTTCTAACACTTGTAGGAACTTATATTTAATTCTTTTTTTTCTTTTTGCCAAATAAATTTGGATATATCTTTCTGTCACTGTTTAAAAGAAGAATTTTAATTTTAATTTTAATTTGTTTAAATTTATGTTAAAGGGGAGTTAAAGCATGTTATGGACTTGGTTACTTAAATAGTTGGTTAATGTTAGTTAGATTATGATTATTATATTTGTAACCCTGTGTTCAGCTTTGGGAAGTGGGGGAGGGGGAGGGGGGCTTGGGGGTGGGTATGGGGGTTTATATTGTAATTTTTATAAAACTTTTAATAAAATAAATAAATAAATAAATAAAAGAAGAATCTTTACTCAATATCAGGATAATCTGGAAAAGAAATAACATTCTGCACAGTACATTCATCTTAATTACTGAAATTCTTCTGATTAATGACAAATCTAGTTTTTCCATCTATATAAGTCCAACTTTATCTCCTTTCATATTTTAACATGATTATTTTTATATAACTTAGAATTTTCATTAATGAGATTCACCCCCAAATATTTTAGCTTTAAATCCTTTTTTAAGATCCAATTTCTTCTTTTCCCCATTCATATTCTTAGTATTGTCGTCTTTTATTTATTTATTTTTAAACCCACCATTTTCTCCAAATATTTTAATCTTCTTCATAACATACTCAATATTCTCTAGCGTAGGGGTGTCAAACTGCCGGCCCATGGGCCGGACCCATCACCAGGGAACCGTGCCCACCCCATTGCTGGCAATGGGAAAAAAGCTCCGATATGTCACGCGACGTCACCTGACATTGCAAGTTTGACATATCTGCTCTAGCGTATCTTGCAAAATCAAAACCAAGTCATCAGCAAAAGCACTTATACTTATGTGCTTTAATTTGTGATCCTTTTACTCTGTCATCTTGTCTAACAGTTCCAGCACCAGGATAAATAATAAAGGGGATAAAAGATTCTCCTGTCTTGTTCCTTTCTGGATTTCACATGATTTTATCAAATCTCCATTCCCCGTAATCTGTTCTTTCTGGAGTGTATAAATGAACTTCAGTCCCTGTAGAAAGTGCAGTCCAAAATCCATATTTTTGACTACTTTTAAACATAAAGTCCCAACTCAAATTATCAAAAAGTTTTTTCTGCATCTAAGAAGATTAGTGAAACTATTTGTCAGTACATTGTTATAAATGTTCAATTATATCCAAGATTACTCTCACATTGTCTTTTAATTGTCTTCTGGGTAGAAAATCACACTGGTCTTCATGTATGTAATTTTGTAAAAAAAAATTAAGTCTTTCAACTAAAATGGATGTAAACAATTTATAGTCATTGTTAAGAGGAAAAATTGGTCTATAATTCTTCACAGAAGTCCAGGCCTCCTTAGGCATCAAAGACATGTAGTATGTACAACATGTAGGCATAGAGTTTCCTTGTAGTTCATTAAATCCTTCTGTCATGGTTCCAACAGACAGAGTCAAATAAAGCAGAACTCTGAGGCTTGAAAAATCCTCAAGGAACATGTTTATTAGTTACAAAGTATCAGCACGATCAAAAATGAAACCAAGTCTGAAAATTCCCACTAAAAATTTCCCAGTTACAAAGTATAATGTCCCACCCACAAAACTATGCCATCACTATGTTCCCCAATACATTCATTTGGCGGGCTTTCTTATACAAGCCCAGTCCCTGATTGCGGGAGTAGTAGATGACCTTGGTTCCCACGGGACAGAAGATTATTTTGACCAGTGAAGTACGTGGGCAAGCCCCCCTCCCTCCATTCTATGTGGCAACCTAGAATGAAGAGAAAGATGGCTGCAGCTAGGCTCATTGTAGAGTTGACACCTTCATCAGGAGAACTAATTGCTCTTCAAAAGCTTTATAGAATCCATTCACTAAACCATCAGGTCCTGGTGCTTTATCTGTCTTAGCCCTATTAATTGCTTCTGTTATTTCAAAGGTCATTATTGGACTGTTCAAAATTTTAATTATCCCTTTTTTCAAATGGCCATTTAGATTTTTTTTCTTCATTCTACTCTAGAATATATAAAGAAATTACCTTCCTTATTAATGCCATCTATCATCAGTAATTTGACAAAGGAACATAAATAAGTACGGATAAATGTTTTTAGGGATATAGAACCCAAGATGCAGCTTGAGACTTGATTTGATTCAAATTGGAAATTTGAAATTAAAAATCAACATGATTTGTTTGGGGAAAAATACAATAAGCAGTAAATTGTATCTATATTCCTGTATCTTCATATTTTGATAAGATGGTATAAAAATAGCCAGTATACCCTAATTCCCCAGAACATAAGGTGGCTAACTTGAGGGTCTCTCTATAATATTATTTCACATTCACCTATTAAAGGCAATGATGAAAATTAGACCAGTCCCTATGGGTCTATGACATTGTGCTGAATTAATACAGAAATAATCTGATTCTATCTTTCAAAAGCCTTTTAAAAAGTTATCTCTTATTTAAATAATCAAAATGTCAACCTTCATCTGGAACTGGATTTTTGAGCTGGGAGACTTGTTGACAAAGCTGGTGGCCAACATAAGCCTTTTTGGAAGAATGACAGACTACATGGTATTTGTGACTAATTTTTAATACTCTCAGAAGTCATATACTGTGGCTGTAATTTAATATACAAGTAATTTGCACTATACAGCATTGTTCCATCAGCAAGCACATTTTATCAGAATTACTCATGCACTGAAAAAGATACACTCAATACAAAGTAAGACAACAAGGGGGGGAAAGGCTACCTCAATAAATCTGAGTCTTTTTTTTCTCTACAAACAGTTTTCCCCACTGAGACCAAAATAGTAAAGTGCTTCACTCCTCCACATGGTCTGCAAGGCAAGCTTTGCAGAAGTCACCAGCTGATTATTCATGTCCATATCAGAAAGCTGATTGTGCTGTGTTGTCCATATTTGGAAGGAAAGAGCTTGAAGCTACTTTATCTCCAAGTCCTTTTGAATTTCTTGGGATATGAAACAAATTTATTCAGCTTGATGTCTCAATTTACTTGAAGATTCATCTCCAAAGTATCAATTCAATTTCTTTCCAATCAAATCATCTAGTTGAATCATTGCACATCATTGTGTGTAGGTGTGTGTGCATTGGTTTACCTGAGCTAAAAGAATAAGTTTCTATCTTCATCAAAAAACCTCTGATTAAAATCTATGATTCAACTCCTCTGTTATCTAAAGTCCAAATCAGGTTGGTTACCATTGCTCCAGAATTCAGAGGAACAGAGCATAGAAAGAGTACTTGGCTATTTCCCTAAATCATATCATGATTTTTGGAAGACAGTATCTTGTTAGACAGCTACAGTGTAGTTCCTTGGTATTTCTTGAGGTTTCTTATTGAAGTCTACACCAGGACATATCCTATAGGTTGTCTATTAATTTGGAAGATTGCCCTACATATAAAAATTAATGAGACACAATTGTAGTACATTTATCCATTTGAAATCCATAACCAAAATCCATGAATTATGTTGGCAGATATCGTATTGAAATACAGCAATTTTGCTCTGGTAATACTAGTGCCTAGTACTAATTCTTTAGAATTCTTGGTCTAGTCAGATACTAGGCCCCCTAAAGCAAAGGTTAAGCAAAATCCCAATAAAAGAAGATGTCTTCTTGGAGCCCATGAATAGTTCTACAGAGTTAATAAGGATGCCATTGTATAGAAGCAAAGAGAAGGCCCAGTCTGTAACAGTGGTAGCTGTGCTCATTTGCTATTGAGATACAATAGTCACAGAAAATCTCATTTTTATGAGATGTAATAAATTAAATACTATAAATTATTGCAATGGAACTTTATGTAAAGGTCACACATGATACATGTTTGATCTGCTTTGACTCGATAAGAGCGCACATATCTTCAGGACTAGTTTGTTCATTCTTGTGGTTTATCTTTTAAGTAGAGCATTCAGATTTTCACCACAAACGCTATAGTGTTATCTTAAAAACTATTTGTGGTACCTTTTACTAAATGGTCTTAACTTTATTTACCAAAGGATAAACTTCATTGATTTTTTTTAGATTTGCATCTAAATTAACCAGTGGTGGTGGTTTCTTGATTGGGCTGTTGTTTACTGTTAGCTTGTTTCGAAGTTCCTTGATTGGGTAGTGTTTGCTTTTTGATTGTTGGTCTAATATTAATTTTGGTGTGAATCTCTGCTCATATGGTGTTGATTGCTGGTGGGGAGATGTTTTGGTCTTTCTGTTTCCTTTTTGGCTTTTTGATTGTCTGTTTTGAATGGCATGTAGATGTTTATGTCTGTGTGCCTGTTAATGGCTTTTTTGTCTGAGTGCAAGATCCTATATATTGGTTGCATTCTCTGAAGTATATCTCAGACATCTGCAACAAGATATAACATTCGTTTCTGTTGAAGACAGGCAAGCAACAATACAGAAATGTTGGTGGTCTTTGCTCCCCACTTTAAAATTATCAAGGGTTTTTGCAGGAAACACGGGAGATAACATCTCATCTCTTATCCTTTCCAGTTACCTGTCTCTGGCAATCTAGTGGACTTGTATGGGAATCAAGGTTTGCCTCCTCCAGGAATTAACATAAGCAATTCCTGTCCTGCTAACCTTCCTAATATAAAAAGGGAACTGACAGGTAAATATGAATTCTGTTTTTAAAA